CACGGTAAAGGAATTCTGAAGCTCGTGAACGGGGGCTGTGTTCAACTCACCTGTTGGGTTTCCTTGACTCACCAGTGCATGAGGAGAGGCAGGAAACCGTGTAGGAAAGAGACGCGCCAATTCCCCTGGTTACGCTGGGCGCTGAGAGATGGACCGCAGGGGATTGGGGTAGTGCGTCTGCTTGGAGTTGGGGGAGGAAAAATTCTAGATGTGATTAGCTGTGCGGTATCAGTTCAGTACCGGCTGTCACGGTACTGTTTGATTCGCTCCTTCGCGGAATCTGGAGTGCGCGGCGATGATCAGTAGAACCTTGCAGGAGAGATCAGACGATGTAGTCGAACAAACGATCACCAAGAACCTTCAGGAGTGATGACTTGAACTCGGCGAGGGAAGTAGAGGTGACCGTCGAGTCGGGCAAGGCGTTCCACTCGTTCACGACGCGTTCCGAGAAGAAACGTGATCTCGTGTCCAGTTGGCAGCGCCGGACTGTGATTTTGAGCTGATGACCTCGGGTGCGGCGTTCGGAGGACAATTCCCAGAGATCTGACGGCGTGATGGGACCGGGGCTGTGGAAGATTTTCCAGCATTTGATGAGGTCGGATCGGATCAGTCTGCCCTTCACAGAGAAGAGGTTTAACTGTCTCAGGCGGTCACCGTACTCCATGTTTTGCAGGCCTTTGATGTGACGAGTCCATAGTCGTTGGACCGCCTCGAGTCTTCTGAGGTCATCGATATATCCTGTGTTCCATACAACAGAGGCGTATTCCAGAACTGGACGGATGTGGGTGCGGAGGATGTGCAGCATGAAGTCTGCATCCCTACACAAGGTTGCTTTCAAAAAGCTGTGTGCCACTCCTCCAGCCTTCCTGGCGGCAGTTCTAGCCTGTTCATGGAACCTTAGACTGTCGTCGATGATCACGCCAAGGTCGGAGTGCGATTCGGTCCAGGGAAGGGCAGAGTTATTCAGATAGTAACTCGGTCTTGGTGATTTGTGGAATTTCCGTTGGAACCTCATGAGGACGCACTTCTTCGAGTTCAGCGAAAGGCCCCACGATGATACTGTGGCTTGGAGACGATCGATGTCCGACTGAAGACTTTTGGCGTCGAGCTCGGACTTGTTCCCACACATGTATATCTTCAGGTCGTCTGCGAAGATTTTGTAGCGGCTGTGCAAACCGATGGCTATGTGGTTGACGTAGATCAAAAAAGGATCGGACCTAGAATCGATCCTTGGGGTACTCCGCTCCGTACTTCCTTCGATGAGCTCAGAGTGCTTTTGACCACTACTTGCATCCTTCGATGAGATAGGAAGTCCTGGAGCCAGGCAAGGAGTTGTCCGCCGAGACCAATACATCGGAGTTTCTCGAGGAGGACTGAGTGGCACACCGTGTCGAAGGCCTTGGAGAAGTCGAAAAGAATAAGATCGACGAGGCATCCGTTGTCCCAGTTGCGCGAGACGAAGTCGTACGTCAGTAGAAGCTGGTCTTCAGTAGAGCGGCCCGACCTGAAACCGAATTGATGGTCGACAAGAAGGTTGTTCTCGGCGAGGAACTCGTTCAGTTCACGCACAATAATGCGTTCCAGGCATTTCGATGGAACAGATAGAAGACTAACTGGCCGGTAGTTTAGAGGGTCTGATCGCGAGCCTTTCTTGAAGATCGGTACTACGTGGGAGTTCTTCCAACGGCGAGGCAGTGTTCCCTCTTCTAGCGACAGTTTGTAGATATGAAACAGTGGTTGCGATAAAACCGAGGCACATTCCTTCAACAGACGTGGATGGATACCGTCGGGGCCCATCGAAGAGTTAGCATCGAGGTGAACAAGGATGCCCTCAACATCTTCACGGGTAAATGTAACGTTATTCAGCGATGCCTGGCAGCTCTGGTGAGGAAAGGGAGTGAGCTGTGGGGCTTCGCCATAGACGCTGGCAAAAGCCTCCGCGAAGGCATCGGCCAAGGCTTTGGGATGGTCAGTGACGGAGCCCGATGACAGACTTAAAGGTCCTACAGAAGAGCGGAACTGTTTCTTCTTACGTAGGTACGAGTGAAGGAGCTTCGGGCTGTCCCTCATCTTCTTTAAGAGTGATCGCTCGTAGTCGATTTGCGAGTTTGTTGCGAAACTTCGTAACCGTTTGTTACACTGTAGAAACGATGCTAGCAGTGTCTTTGCCTCAGGGGAGTTCCTGCCGAAGGACGTTCTCGCCTGCTTGTAGGCTGACCATGTGGAGGACCTTAGGTGTTTCAGAGAAGTCGGTGGGTTTCTCTTCCAAGGAACCTTGTTGTTGGGCTTGTTATGTGTAGATCTTGGGATGAATTGGGATATTAGCACTTCCAATATGTCCTGGAGACGCTCGAAGGCGTCATGCGCAGATAAATACTGAAGCTCAAGGTCCCAGTCAATTGTTGCCATGTGACGGTTGATCATGTGATATTTCCCGTGGTGCCACAGTAGACGGTGCGAGTTCTCTGGAGGCACCTGAATGTCTTTGTCAAAAACATAGCTGCAGTGGATGCTGCAGTGATCGCATCCCGGAGGAGGGGCATTGACCGTAACGTCCCCAATTCTGTCGTCCTCAGATGTGAGTATGAGGTCGAGGATGTTGCCTGATCGTGGGAAGGTCGGTTCTGTGATCCATTGGTTCAGCCCCAAGTGATCAAACAGGTCCAAGAATCTTGTATCCGGCGGTGTTGCTGCTCTGAGGATGTTGTCTGGAGAAGTCCAATCGAGAGAAGGCAAGTTGAAGTCGCCCAGAATTATTGTCTCCTTGCCAATGCAGGTCTCTAAAAGGAACGAGACAAGAGCCTCATTTTCCGCGACGGAATGCGAAGGTGGCCTGTATACGACGAAGATGTAGATGCCGAGAACTGGTAGATGAAATGATAATACATTACTGAAGGATACATCCACCTTGTCGAACTGCAGATGATCGGCTATGTATGCGGCAACTCCGTGAATTCCTGCTCTACCACTATCGTTCCTTACAAGCGTGTATCCCGGAATCTGCACTGCTGCGTCGTGAATATGTTCTTGGAGATGTGTTTCTGAGACCAGAAAGATGTCTGTAAAACCTTTCAGATGTAACGTGTCCTGCAGCACTGGAATTTTGTTGCAGATGCCGTTGACGTTGCAATGAGCAATATGGAGAGCGAATGTGCGTGGAGTTTTGTCTTGACGTGTTAGTTTCCCGACCCGCCTTGGGTAGGGAAGGGGTTTAAAGTTTCAGCTTCGTTGTGGTGGTCGCCAACGTCATCACCATTGAAAGCAACAGGCAAGACTGCTTCGCGGTTGGGGGAGCTGACGGGTGCACTGTTGGTGGTTACTGGTTGACCATCATTATCCTTCGGGTCGTCGGGCTTTGGTGTTCCGGGAGGGGCAGCGGGTAGGGGCCGTTGAGTCAGGGAGCCGGGTTCAAGAGGCACTGCAGGCTCGGAGGCGGGCTCTCGACGTTCCCACACCCTGGTTCGAGTGCGGGCCTCAGTTCCAACTGGGGGCCGTGTCGTTGATCTCACTTCAGTTTGCAGGGAGGAATTCGTCGGGGGATCCACCGTGGTCTTCCTGCCATGCTTGAGGAACCTCTCTTGGAGCTCCATACGTTGCATGTATGTCAGGTCCCGTTTGACATACACCTTTGAGAATTGCTCAGAGTTCTTAAGGTTTTTTGCCTGTTCGAGGACCAGCTTCCTGTGCTGGGAGTTGTGGACATTGCCACGAAACAGATCAACACCTGGTTTGATCCTACATGCTTCCGAAAGGGCCACTCTTTCCCCAATCAGTAGATGGGTGACTTCAGCAAATTTGTCTATAGCCTCAGCAGAAGATGATGCTCCTAGTCCTCGGATCACCAGGGAAGCTCGTCTCTTCTTTCTCTCATCAAGTTCCAGAAGCTCCTCCCTGACCACAGTCCTATAGTTGTTTTGGTTTCCAGCCTGGTCTGTCCCTCTGGCCTGGGTAGGGCCTGAGGGATTGGGCCGAATCAGCGCTTCAGCATAGGAGGGGTGTTTGCAGCTGTTGCTGGAGATGGTTGGTTGGGAGTCCCCGGCCTGGCTGGATTGGCTATGGGTCACTGAGGAGGTAGCCTGCTGATCTGTGATAGCTTTTTCAAGCTTGTCAATCTTCTTGATGAGCGCGGAGAGAGCATTGCTTATCTCAGGCAGGCTTTGGGGGGTCAACGACTCTGTGTTAACTTGAGCTGCAACATCAGCAGAGGTTGAATGTTTGTTCTGCCCTGAGTGATTTGAATCACCGTGGAGTGAGATTGGGGACAGTTGGATGGCAACATCCCTTGTGGAGGCTCTTGGCTGGAATTTGTCCAGGTTTGGTAGCTTTTTGCATGTGCTGCAAATGAATGCAATCACTTCATGTTTCTTTAGAGCGTTGTATGCACTTCTGGGTATATCTTGGCAGAGGGCATGATACCAGTTAAAGCATATGTCACACTGTACCCCTTGTTGATTGGTCTTCACTTCCAGATTACACACGTGATTCCCAGGCCCTCCATTGCAGGTCGAACTAGTGATGCCTGGAGGATTGGGGATGGTCGGAGACAATCTTGTCCCAATGTCAAGAGGCAAAGATTTGAGTGAACTGGCAACAATCCCTGCAGGTTTAGCTGCTTGAGATGAAACAGTGTCTTGGTAGTCAACATTTGGTTGATCTGTATCTGAGGCAGAGAAAGATCTCAGTGAGTCCATCTTGGACTGCGAGCAGGATTTGTGCTTGAGAGTTGGGGATCTTGGGATTGGCATTCCTGTGTCCCTTAGCAAGACTTGGGATCACATACCATGCGAGGCCAGGAGCTGGTTCAATCTTGTGTCACACCAACATGCAAGGCACGCACAATGCAAGACGAGGACAACACTGCAAGGGCAGGTTGGTTGGGTTAGATGCGGTATGGGTTAGAAGCAGACAAGGACGGACAAAGACAAAAGCATGCAACTGGCAGTAAGTACTCCCTCATCCAGGTGAGAGCAGCATGCAGATTGCAGAGCGGGGAAGCAGACCTCGGTGAGGTGAATCCACTTGCACAACACCACTTGCAAGGTGGGGGCGGCTATTGAAATCAATCTGTTTCGTTGCGCTTGATATTCCCGATAAAGATACCGGCGCAACCTTCTTAGATCAAGATCGAGATTCAGAGCAAAAAAAAAAAAAACAGTTGTTCATTTTTGGGTCATGCTTCTAAATAATGTACAACAATATGAATAAAATGCCTTTCAATTCATTAAAGAGCTTTTCCAGATGTGAATTTTGCATGAATTGAGCAAAATATACATTATTGGCTTCACATTTGTTCTCAGTATTCCTAAAAATTTAAACAGAACCATGGTGAATTAATTTTGTCACACACGCGTCATGCATGTCAAGAATATACCCGAGTTCTAAAATGCTGCCACTAATTATGAATCGAGGAGCTTGGCATATGCTACTGGAAAAAAGCTGAGTGATGCCGATAAATCGATAAATTGAAATGCACCTGTTTGTAATCGTAATGTTTAAACACTGTAACAACTAGCAGGATGGCTTCCAGGCGCGGATACAAGGGGGGGGCCATGGGGGCCATGCCCCCCCCCCCCCTTGGCCGATTTTTTTTCAAAAATAAAATAAAAAGTTAAAAAGTTAAAAAGCTGAAAAGGGGGCCTCCTGAAAATAAAGTGGCCGAAATCCGATGAGTTTTTTTTTAACCTACCCACTTAGTTATTTCTTAGAAGACTAGCTGAGAAGACTTCTTTGTTAGAAGATTGGTAAAGCTTTTCATAACTTGGAGGTCTCTTATACTCACAGAGATGACCACTTTTACAGGGCCTCCTAACCCAAGATACCTATAAGAAACAGGTAGGTCCGATGTTTTGAGTAAAGCCCAGTAAAGCCCTGGTGACGTCACTGACATTTCTTATATGGAGAATTTCGCCCATAAGGAAAATATTTTACATACGGAAATTTGTATTTCATTAGGAAAAAATACATTCTTTCAATTTCATCATGAAACTTATATAATTTAATTAAAAAACTTGAAATCCTTTGAGTGCTTGTCCCAACCCCTGCTATACCTTTGGTCACGTGACTTCCATGATAAACTTTGCGTTTTGCAATGTTATGACTTAAACAGAAGCAATAAATGTTACAAACGTATTATTTATGATGTTTTAGGCAGCAATCGTGTAATAACATCCTTGAATTATATACATTCTGCTTAAAAGAGGTCACGTGATGTTACCAGATTGTGCTCGGACAGCATCTTCTTGAACTTCGATTTTGAGTACTTTTTACCTTCATTGAGTCCTAATAACGGACGTTTTTAGTTATAAAATGAAGCAATGAATCTATTGAGGGCAAAATTTAATCATTTTTGCACTTTCAAGCCGGGCTATCCTGGCATGAACTTCGGCCGGTTTGTGTGTGAAGCCTATGGTGAAGGGAAAACTTCACGCCCGGCTGACGTCACAGACCTCGGCTACCAAATCGTGTCCGGTGGGGGTCGTCCTAACCTGCACAGAGGGCCTCCAAGCCTGCACAGATGTTGAGATGTTGCCTGAACAGCTAGATAAGCTCAATAGACGCAGTTTTCTTTTTTTGGGGGGGCCCAACAAGTGGGAAGATGGGGCCTCCAACAGGTGGGATTATGGGGGGGGGGCCTCCTGGTTTCTAATGGCCCCTCCCTTGGAGATTTTCTGGATCCGCCCCTGATGGCTTCTATTTCGTTTGTTAGATAATGTGTCCACTGTCCTGGCTCCTAGCTATAACTTGTTGCAAGCTGCAAAGTAGGTATGTAGATTGCAGCATTTGAGCAAAAATCTGAGGCCACAATGTGCAAAATTGATTCCCGAACGCAGGGACTCCACTACGGTCTACGGAAGGGGGACACCGAACCTTCAAAATCACATCTGTAATCAATGCAGCCTAATGCATAAGGGCGTGAGTGTTTTGGGTGGGCCCCTCCCCCACCCCCTCCCCCCTTCCGTCCTGAGACCGTGGCGGAGTCCGGCTGACCGGAAGGGTCCTGAATGTTTGGTGACGATATCTGCAATACTTAAGGAGATATCGACAGAAAAGGAGAGGGGGCAAGACGGCGTCTCGCCCCCCTGGACCCTACGAGCCGCGAGTAAGCTTCCAGAAGCTGGTCTTACGAGGCTATAAGTAGATAACGATTTTTTGGCTGAAGGGTGAGCGAGGCGACGTGGAGCTCAGAAATGGCCAGATCTATAACAGAGCGGGCGCCGGAGATCCAGCTCCCCTCCCCCTCCCCATCCCCTTCCTATCCGGAACCCGGCGTCGCTCCGACGGGCTCGGTGGCGGTTTTCATCTCACTTCCGGTTGGAGTCCCCTCAGATATCTGCTCTCGCCGGGGGAGCCAGGCGCCAGCTGAAGACAGACAGTCGGGCTGAGCCAGCACTCAGGAGAGGAGTCTGGGGGTCAGCTCAGGCCTCAGCTGCCAATAGACAGAGACAGACAGGCGTCCGCACTACATAATTCACAGTGGCGCCCAAATACGATCGATTTTGTTCCGATGTAGGACTCATACCATTGTGACTGCGATAGCAAGGCAAGCAAGTGGCAGCAAGCACGGCTCTATGTACAGCTCTATGCAGTCCAAACGGGTGCATGACAGCGTCCGAAACACAGCTGTGATGTGACATGTGATGACTACAGCGTTCAGAGCGACAGAAACTGCTAACGCCCTGACGACCCGTAGTCTACTAAAAGGGTAAGTCAGTTTTTCCAGCACCCACCGGTCAAAAACGGTGCAACAAATTTGGATGCAATTTGCTCAGCCGTTTTTGAGAGGTTGAAGCGGCTCCATATAGGTCCTAACTTCTAAACGTGCGCTCGTGAAACGTGGACACGTGAAACTATCATATCTTATAAGATGTGATAAAGTTTCACGTTTAGTTCACGGCTTCACCGTCTATAGATGCAGTCACTATAAGTCAGTATGTATAATTTATCGAAGGCCGAATGTCGTAAACGCCAAACGGTGAGCCGTGCGACGAGCATCGTGAATCGTGATTCTCCCCTCGGGATGTGTTAAATGAACCAGGCATTCTTTAAAGTGCCAAAGAGGTCTCAAGTGCAATATTTCCATTCACTATTCAAATCAATCCATTAAACGTTGCCTGGGTGTGTTTGCAGTGACTTCCAAGTTCCACTCGAACAGGCTCATGCAATCAGTAACAAGACGAGGCACCTACTTAGATAACCGTAAAAATAAATATACTTAGGTACAATGTACAAATTCGTCCACGAATGGGAAAGTCAATTTTCCTGAAATGAAACAAAGGTACAAATTCACGTATGCTTATTTAATTTTGATTAAAATTCCACTTACAAGGATATCACGTATACGTGTACGATTGTCTAGGGATATACTTCCTAATCACTGTTTTTTTTTTCTTACGTGTGAGATACCATACATTATGCGGGCTGCAGGCGGATCCCCGGCGTCGACCGCAGCACGGACCACAGGGTGCGGCCTTGGCTGCTCCCCAGTCGATTTCTTGCGAACAACCTTCTGAATACCAACCGTCCCCGAGCGGCGGATTTGGATGTGCTGTCCCGCACACCAGGCCGCGTGCACGCCAAAACCACTGTCGACAGTTGTAGGTATTTGGCGTGTTATATTTATATTTATCTATGTTGTCGAAAGGAAATGGCGTGATCTTAAAATATGTAATGGTTAAAAGCTTAAGCAATAGCCTCAAATCGTTTTTTTTTTATTTGTCCAAGCTTTCCAAGAACCAGTCCCTACGTCTTGCGCAAAAGTCCCTTCTGGGATAGTTAGGGGAGAGCGGGGTGAGTTGTATCATGTCCAAGTTGTATCAGGGCGAATTGTGCCAAACTTATCCAATAGATAGCGCTGGTGACACGACCAGCCGACGAGGTTTTCCGGGCGCCATCTTTCCCTGTTCTGTCGTGTGGCTGGGTGGACGCGTCTCGAGGTGAGAGCCGATTTTATGTTTTTTTCAATGTCATTCTAAAAAAATAAGTTGCAGGAAAATGTGTGTTTTGGGCCTTTAGATGTGCACGAATTTGAAAGATCTCCGTAGCGGTGGTGAGGGTAGGTTCTAAGGCTGCGTGAGTGAAAATGGATTTCTCCAGCTGTCCGCTGTTTTTGAGCACGAGGATGTTTTTTCCAAGATGGCGGCGAGGTACATGTTGTATCAGAGCCGGGTGGGGTATGTTGTAACATGTATGTATGTATGTATCTATGGGTATGTTGCTTTTGATCGCGAAAGCTAAGCCCTGGCTCGCGTTTGTAGGTTGCTAGTCAATACTCGTTCCATTTCGGCACAATGTGTTGGCTGCTTTGCTCTTAACGGGTCACTTTTGCGTCTAGTCTGTTGATGTTTCGTTCGTTTCGATGTTTCGTTCGGATTGACCTAAGTTTGGTCTAATAAAAGTGAAGCCTTTGAGCATATACATTGTATTAACCCCATTTAATGTTGTTGTTATGTTCAAAACCAGTAGCAAGCACACTCCCTGAAACGTGAAATAGTGATACAAATTACCCCACCATATGATACAACTCACCCAAGCCATGGGGCAAGTTGTATCAAAAACATTGTTCTATTCGGCAGACCGTAGAAGAAAAAATAGTAGAAGTAGCGGAAAAGTTACTTTGCACAAAAAGGCAGAAGAATCAAGGAAGGAGATAGTATGGAAATAATGAGTTTATCACGGATAGTTACGAGGTTATGGGTCTCGGAGTAAAAACTGATACAACCCACCCCACTCTCCCCTAACCCTCGCCGGCACAGGGGGGGGGGGGGGGGGTTGATGCACCCCCTAAGGTTTTTCGCGAATAACTCTCGTAAAAAGCGGCCGATCGCGACGAAACTTTCAGTACCCTCGTATTGATCAATTTTACACGTTCCCTGAAAATTTCATGACCATGACCCCAATGACCTTTGACCTGTGACCTCTTTTTCGTGACCATGTTTGGCCGAAATCGCGATTCGGCGTATGTCGGCTCGCATTAGCCGCGCGTTTGCAAGCTTTTCGTGGTTTCAAACGTTCAAACATGTGATTTGATGTTGCTCCCATACATTAGGGTGGGTGTCAAGGTCACCTGAAGGTCAGGTTAGGTCATTGACCTTTGGTGACCTCGGGTGACCTCGTTCACTTTTTCGAGTTTTAACCCTCGCCGGCCGAGGGGGGGGGGGGGCGGGTGCCGCCCCCCCCCATAGGGTTTTTTCGCGATAGCTCCGAACACGCTGGCGATAGAGAGCTGAAACTTGGCATACCTGACCTTTGATCCAAGCCGCATCTTTTGACACCAACCGCATTTTTGGGTCAGGTCAGGTCACTGACCTATGACGTCATAAGTGAACCTCTGCACGGTCTTCAGATGTCGCAACTTCGCA